TGGAGTTAGTGGGGGCACCAAAATTAGGCAAGGGGTCTGGGGGCCGCCTTGAGGCCCCCAGTGAGGGCGAAGCCCCCGGAAGCTCCTTGATTCTAGAGATTTTGTAGGGTAAAAATGAGGTCTACCAAGTAGACATATTTGATTTACGCTAACTTTGACAATTTTAGGGGGGCGCGCGCCGGGTGCGCCCCCCTTAAATCCGCCACTGGTATATATATCTAGCCGAGACCCTCAATATTAAATTTCAAAGATAATGTAACTGTTGTGCATTAAATATTTACAATGATCAAAGGAGAGCGGACTCTGTGTGAACAGATTGTTAGGGTGAACAGTCCCAAATACCATACATGTATGAGTCCGAAGGAGTATTATTGTTCGAGGGTTGATATGGGTTGTGATATAAATTTTGACATACACATATTATTCTTTTGATCTTAAATTTGAAAATACGTATATACATGTATATAATCATGAATATTATTCCGAATATGTGCACTTTTGATAATTAAGCATCTGCGTGCTTGAGTTTCTGTTTCGCATCAATTCATTTTTGCAATTCATTTATTAAATGTGTCATAAAAACTAAAAATTAGACATTTTTACAACGATATATTTGAGATATTTTATGTTATAAGCAGTTGACAATAAGAAAGGTCAAAGGTGAAAGTGGGTATCCTTCATACTTTCTTGGTTTTAAAGAAAAAGTTATATTTTTTTGCCAACCTTACCCCCTTTATTTAAAACGACCTGTTGCTAAAATTGAGTGCAAGTTGTCATCTAAAGAAGATACAGAGACTTTTTTTTAAAATCATATTACTTAAGAATGATATTAATAAATTTTTTTCATTTTAATCCTAGGTGAAAATAGCGTTTTAGAGAGAGAGAGAGAGAGCGTTAGAGAGAGAGAGAGCGTTAGAGAGAGAGAGAGAGAGAGAGAGAGAGAAATAGAACATGCATACTCGTGACGGTAGCACTTTTTTCATGTCCTAATGCATTGTACGGTTGCCTCTCGTAAATTATATATATGTAGAATTGATTATGTGTTCGTTCATTTATTCAATTAAACAAACAAAATAACACTTTTGGATATAGAACCTTTTAAATCTGAAGTCCCACACTCTAGATCAGCACATACACATGTTCAGATTGAGAAGGTTCAATAATTCGTCACATATATATCATGAGGTCTAGTTTCTTGAAATGTTTTCAACTATAAATATAAAAGAAATGTCAAAGACATTCTTGGTTCTTGGTTAATTCTTAAAACGCGGTATGCTGCTGTTTTTATTTTATTTAGCCAATTTATAATACCGGTATTTGTTATGTTGGCGATGCAGATGTCATGAAATTATTTACATTTTAATCGCCAAACATTTAATTTGATTTTCAATTGATTCATTGGACCTTTCTGCTGGTAGTGTTATCTGCTGTAGGCTGTTTCAAGAGTAATCTCCCTTTGATTACATAGTGACCATGGTGAAGAGGCGTTGGGATCGAGTTGTAAACACGAATTCACAAAAAGAAATCCAAAAAGAGTATACATTATTAAAAAAATATATATATTATAAATATAATAAATTGAATCTAAATTAGCTATGTCAAGGAAAAGCCTGGGGTCTGAACCACGGTAAGGGTAAAAAGAAGTCGACAATGCTACATGCTGTAATATTTTGTAAAGCACATGGTTTTCGTTTTCCTTTTTACTACCACAACACAAAATCTAATATATTTCAAACTAGACAATTCATTTTGATACATTTTTAAAGTAGAAAGCACAAAAAATATTATTTTTGGTATTATCCTGAGATATTCCCGAAAATCCGCTGTGATGGTCGGTTTTCAGAGGTTTGATATGGAAAGGAAAGTTAAGTTTTCAATGTGGCCACACGTGACAAACAAAATAAAAATATGCCCTATGTATTTACTTTTTTATCCTCTTTTTAATGACATAAATTTTATTTTGTTTGTAGGGTGTGGCACATGGTTTTCGTTTTCCTTTTTTACTACCACAACACAAAATCCAATATATTTCAAACTAGACAATTCATTTTGATACATTTTTAAAGTAGAAAGCACAAAAAATATTATTTTTGGTATTATCCTGAGATATTCCCGAAAATCCGCTGTGATGGTCGGTTTTCAGAGGTTTGATATGGAAAGGAAAGTTAAGTTTTCGATGTGGCCACACGTGACAAACAAAATAAAAATATGCCCTATGTATTTACTTTTTTATCCTCTTTTTAATGACATAAATTTTATTTTGTTTGTAGGGTGTGGTCAAGGTCAAATTTTGAGTTAAAGATGTAAAAAATGGTTGATTTTGCTAAAAATCAGCAAAGTGCATGTGTTTTGACGTTTACTGTACAATTATGACGTCATCAAATGAAAAATATGACGTGAACCTTTTGAGCTCAAGACTAGTAGATAATATATTCATCATTATTTTTCTCTTTTACTTCAGTTAAAATTTCCTAAAAAATGTAGGCCGATTTTGCACCTTCGTGGCTTTACTTCTTTTACTGTACCCAGAAGCAGAGAAGATTTTCAAAGAATAATGCATTTTCACTATATAATCAATAGAGTCCCACCCTAACACCAGAACCTCTGACCCTGGGGCCATAAAATTCATAATTTTAGAAGAGGCGCTCTTGCTCATCATAACAATGTGCTTAGTTAGTTAATTTAATAAAAGAAGCAGAGAAGAAGATTTTCAAAGAATTAATGCATTTTCACTACATAATGAATAGAGCCCCGCCCTAACACCAGAACCCCTGACCCTGGGGCCATAAAATTCACAATTTTGGAAAAGGCACTCTTGCTTATCATAACCATGTGCTTAGTTAGTTTATTTAATACCCAGAAGCAGAGAGGAAGATTTTCAAAGAATAAATGCATCAGGGCTCGACATTAACGCTTGTTCGCTTGTCCGGTACCAATGAAAAAAAATTTCGGACAAGTGAATATTGCTAGGCACTTGTCCGATTGGACAAGTGATTTTTCTATGTGAAGAAGTCTTCAAATAATAATAATCATAAAAAACAACTTTTGTAAAATTTATCGAATAAAAACGGAAGCAGTACATAAACCTGAATTTCGATCCCGATATGAATCGCTATGTAAGTTCACACTTGATCGGGATCGATGTTCATTAATTGCAGCCATACTATTGCATGGCGTGGATCTTATGACGTTTGTGAGTTTAAAATATATTTGATTGATTTTACAGATTCACTTGCGAACATTTATGCCGTTGTGAGGACAGGAAATCTAGATAAAATTTTGTTTTATATGTGTTTGTCTTATTTATCAATAACAACACTTATGAATCAAGCACATTTAATATTTTTTATTGTTTTCAAGTTTACATAACAAGACATTCATTGAAAAATTTTCGGACAAGTAAAGTTGGAGTTCGGACAAGTAAATATCTTGGTCACTTGTCCGAATGGACAAGTAGGAAAAAAAGTTAATGTCGAGCCCTGTGCATTATCATTACATAATGAATAGAGCCCCGCCCTAACACCAGAACCCCTGACCCTGGGGCCATAAAATTCACAAATCTGGAAGAGGCATTCTAGCTCATCATAACTATGTACTTAGTTAATTTATTCAATACCTAGGAGCAGAGAAGAAGATTTTCAAAGAAATAATGCATTTTCACTATATAATCTTTATAGCCCTGCCCTAGCACTAGAACCCCTAGCCCTGGGGCCATGAATTTCACAATTTTGGTAGAGGACTCAATGCTCATTACAATCATGCCAACAGTTTGTCTGCTTGATGTCCAGGAGTAAAAGAGGAAGATTTTTAAAGATTACAATAATTTTAGTGGTTTTGGCCCCACCCCTCAGGCCCCAGTGCGCCAGGGACCATGAAATTCACAATTTTTGTTCCCCTTTACCCATAGATGCTGTATACAAATTTGGTTAAAATTGGTTCAGTGGTTTCAGAGAAGAAGCTGAAAATGTTCAAATGTTAACACACGACGCACGACGACGGATGAAAACGGAGAGCAACAGGTCACTTGAGTTACTCGGTTGACCTAAAAAGTAGGTCACTGTGACCTGCTTTTGAGATAACATGATGTGAAGTCCTAAGAAGCATCATCTTACAAGTTTTGATGAGTCTAGTCTTTATAGTAAGCAAAATATAAATGTTTTTATGAAGTGTAATTATTGGTCAACTTTGAAGTGACCTTGAGACCACGCCCTTTGCCCCAGGTGATGCTTCAACAGTTTTTAATCTTCAACATATCCTGATCCTTGTGTGTAAGTGTGGTGAAATCTGCCAGGTGGTTCTGGAGAAGAAGATTTTTTGGCAACCAGTACTTTTGGTTTTATTTTCTTGATTATCTCCCCTTGTTTAAGGGTCCAAGGGGTTCTTGAGTTATGCCCCATATTCTAAAAAGTTTATGCACACTGCACAACGCACAAATGGCTTTAGCATTAGCTCTTTGAGCATTTGGCTCAGAAGTGCTAAAAATATATATTTCTTGGAAAAGTTTGTTGAGGGAAGGTGTAAAAATTGTTCTAAAAATATAAATTGAGATGCATATCTAATATTCCTAGCATATCATAACAGAAATTATTCTCTGAGTAAAAGTATGTGAGGTTTAAGTTCCAAGAAATTAAATGATTTGCAGAATTTTCTGCTAAATATCCTTCCACCACAAGAAATATTCCCTCATAAATTTTGCTTCTTTGTGAATTTTTGAACAGTTCTTTAAATGATTGTTGGACAATTTTCATTATTTAATTTAAATGTGCAATGGAAATTGAATTATAATAAATAGTTTTGAAGTAATGTTCTGCCTGACTTTTCTAAATAGCTATGAGTGACATACCTTAAGTGAAAGTAATACACTGTACTATCAAATTTAAGTGCAAAAGATTTTAAAAGGAAAATATGAGAAACAAAAGTATGGGAAACAGACTAAATGACAGACAGATGGATGGGTGGCCAGAAAATCCATATTATTTTATACAGAATAACATATATACCTGTATTGCTGCTAAGATGTTTGCCAATGCTTGTCCATATGTGTCATGGCAGTGGACTGCCAAACGTTCTATAGGAACACATTCTGTTACTTTGCTTATTAAATGTTTCATGGCACCTGGAGTTCCTACACCGATGGTGTCACCTAAAGATATCTCATAACAACCCATTTCAAACATCCGTTTAGCTACCTACAATTAAAAAAATATTATCAATACTACAGAAACTTGATCAAAAGAATTCAATACATGTATATCAAGTATTGAGTAAACAGGTGTAGCTCACCAGCTCAAACAAATGGAAGTGCACGCTGAGTACAATCTGGTGACTTGCATCTTCAACAGATTGTTATTCAGTGGTTTCTGTAGCAATTATAATTATATTTAAGCCTCCATCTGAATTTTTATGTTTCATTAAAATTCATAACAGGAAGACAAAGGACCTTAACTGTCACCTAAGTATTAAGTATTAAACCCTGACTAGAGATCTATAAAGAATGAAGTTTTACTAGTATATAATCGATAGGCTGTGATGAACCCTAACACCAGAAATTAGGGCTGGGCAAAAATAGCGATATTACATTGCTATACGTTTTTGTAATACCAATATATACTGGCAACATGTTTTGACTGAGGAATTCTATCAATAAATATTATGAAAAGTTGTCAGAAAGGTGTGTGATAAAGCAAAACATTAAGACAGAAGCTGTTGCATGGGTGTATTTCAGTATATAAGTGTAATTAATCCAACTTGACTCTTTTCCCCTTTGGTTACTCATCATTGTTATGTACATTCTGCATGTAAATTGAAGTTAATATAATGAGAAAATGTCATTTTATTTATGTTGAAAATATTGCAATGCATATCGCAATACACTTATAAATATCGCAATACGAAATCTCTGGCCAATTACCCAGCCCTACTAGAAATCCTAGTTGACACCCGTTTTACAAAAGAACTTCAGACTATAAGACTGAAAACTTACATTAATTGTAACATTTTTTAAAATAAATGTTGTTTAAAATAAATTGCTATTGTAAAAATATCTTACATGTACTACATTCCTTTTAAAAAAATGATAACAGATTCAATATAATGTTAATCAAAAAGTTACAAACAGAATTAAATTAAGTATTTTCCATAAGTTCTTTTGTAAAACAGCCCCTGATGCAGCTGTCAAAATTTTAACAATTTTGATAGAGACATCTTAATGGCTCATCATACAGTGTAATTAACTAATTATGCACCAACTTTATCTGCATGAGGTAGAACAAAACACCTGTGAAATCAATTTAAACCCATTTCTTCTGAAACACATGAGATAAAAAGAATATATTACTCTCATGTCAAAAATCAATTATCTTTGGAAGGAAAAATATAAAATATGACATGAATATTTATTTTGTAAGAGAGAGAGAGAGAGACAAATGAGGCCATCATTAAAAATATATTTTTTTATGTACTTTGACCCACATTTTTCAAGGTCGGTAGATAAGTACTGGATAGTTACTATTATTACTATTTTTTTAAGGCCCCCCCCCCCCCGGCTTAGCAGTATTGAACAAATTGATGTGTTTTCCTTTTTGTGTGTGTGTGTGTGTGGGGGGGGGGGGGGGGCTTAGCAGTTTTGAACAAATTTACAATTGTCTTTGGGATGGGGGCTAAGCAGCATTGAACAAATTGATAACTGTCATACAAATCTCAATGGGGATGGGGGCTAAGCAGCATTGAACAAATTGATAACTGTCATACAAATCACAAACTAAGAAATTTATTGATGTTTTCATTACACATTGGATAGATTAGATAAGTACATAGATTTAATATTAATTGCTTTAAAAACTTGCAATTGAAAGCATCCTATAGAGAGAAGAAATTGTACACCTTAGCTTTAAAATGAAACAATTTCTATTTCTATGGAAATTAAAGGAAAAAAAAAATAAATATTGAAAGTGCTGAAAAAAAAAATTATTGAGGAGGGCGATTTTGACGGGTCAGTCAGAGTACATCAAAGAAATCAAAATTAGACGGAGAAATATATCATTATGTTCTAAAACAAGGGGATGTCTGCAGACTTGAAAGCACTGGATATTGTCATAAGCCATGATGTCATATGTTTGATATGACATCAAAAAAATGACATATTTAAAGTTTAAAATTTCCATGATTTCTACAGCAAATATTTTGATATAATGTGTAGAATGACAATATCAATGAAATATGTAAATATTGTTCTTGAAATTTATTGATATTTTCATTACCATTGGATAGATTAATATTTTGTCAATATTTTGAGCAAAGTCACCGAGCGCACTGGTCTACTCAAGCTCAATATTTTGATATAATGTATAAAATGATAATATCAATGAAATATGTAAATATTAGGGATGGCAATCGATTGCAGAATTGCTAATCGGTTAACCGCAAGACGTTCCGACCGATTAACCGGTTAGTTGTATCAAGGTATAAATTTTGACATTTTCTTTTTATGTAAACATAAAGGCTTAAAAGACGTTAGAAGTTACATTCTGTTTATTATTTTGATCAGGGAATTTGATGCATAAGAATATATTTCATTTTAATTTCAATAGACAAGAAAAAAATTAAGAAAACCATAATTCTTGCTTGAGAAATCAGACGGGGATAATTTTCCAATGCAGATGTTAAAGAAGTTAATTCCGCGTTGTCACTCAGAACTAGTCTGTGTCTGAACTCTCACTTTATTTACAATTTACAACGATCTTTATAATAATAAAATTTAATGGATAAAGGCAAAATATAGACATACAATAATTAAAAGTGCTTAACGGTGATGTATTTAATATCATTAAAAAAACCACAGGACTATCTGGGTAATGGCATGATATTAAAAAACAGTAATTAACACTTACAAATTGACCAATTACCCTGCGATCTAAATCTTGAGAGCTATATACATTTAATAACCTTCAAATATTCTTAATTATAAGATGTGTAAAAACATTAAATAAAAATCTCTGCAGCGCTTTCCTTTCTAAAAAAAATACAGCAGGGAATTTAAGGAAACTGTGCTCAAATTTACATATATTTTATTTTTTTTTCCGACTAACCGATTACGGATTTGCTAACCGATTAGCATCGTTCCGACCGATTAATCGATTAACCGGTTACAAATTGCCATCCCTAGTAAATATTGTTCTTTAAGCAGACCTGCACTCTATAAAATTTATAGTATTAATTTCACTCTCTATATAAGTGGCCTGACCTGCATGAAGGAAACAAACAACCAGTTTGGGCAAACAACCATGATTTATTATACACATTATCATATATAGATATGTAGCAGATGACATAAGCAAATGACAATATTAAAAGTAAAACAGATGACATAATCATGGTTTTCTCCTAATCCCAAACTGGTGTAGTAAGTAGTAAAAACAAAAATAAATAAATAAATGAGCAGTGACTAAGATTACATAGAGAATATCACACCTTAATCACAGTCTGAAAGTGTCACTCTGGGGTAGGGGAGTCACCTTTGGCATGAAGTCGCTTCAAGCAGGCAGGAATGCCCACATGGAAGAGTCCACAGCAGCACGGATTCTGCACAGTCCACAACGAAAACGGAGTTTACACAGTTCTCTACTACAACAGAGGCTGCACCGTTCACAGCGATCACGGAATGCGCACAGTACACACAGATCACAAAGTCCGCCCAGTTCACAGCGATCACAGAGTCCGCAGAGTTCACAGCAATCACAGTGTGCACAGATCGCAGCGATCACAGAATCTGCACAGTTCACAAGGGTCACAGAATCAGCACAATTCACAAAGGTCACAGAATACGCACAATTCACAAAGGTCACAGAGTTTGCATAGTAAAGGCGTTTTAGGTAGGTCCCCAGTACATGATGTGGCCACCATGAGAGCCACAGCAGCGTAAAGAATGATAAAAATGATAAATAAAATTAAACTAAACACATACACACTCACACAAAAATAGACATATATAATAAATAAGGATGGAATCATGGCAAGAGTTAAAATGGGAAAAGGCGATGGATTTCTTGACCTAAACGGTTAGCAACTTGAAAACGGCAATCCAGAGAGGGATCTAAATAAGAACGGTAAGCGTCTGATCTCCAATCACCCTGGGACTGGATTAAGTCTGGGGGGAGACCACATTCCAAAGCAAAGGAGGCCCCCCCACGACGAAAACTGTGTCCAGAATAACTGGCGGGATCAAGTCCCAATAAGGATAGAGTCTTTTTAAGCTTTGACAAAAACACGTTGTAAGTCAGGATATGCCACTGATTATTGGTCTTGTAGGCAAAGGCAGGGCTTTGAATTTGAGGGGTGGGAAATAGGACAAAAATAAGCCGCAAAATGCAGCTAGGACAGAAAGGGGAATTTGGGATATGTGGGATTGGAATTTGGAGGGGACGTTCTGAAAATTGAATAGTCTTGGACCACCTAACTGTTATCACTGCCCCCGAATTTAGAAAGGTAACATTTGATCGAGATAAATGTTTTGTTGGATCGAAAAGCTGCAATGATGGTGCCAAAAGATTAGATTTGCGAAACAAGAGGCCCATGGGCCACATCGCTCACCTGAGAAGCTTTTACCATTCTGTTCTTTACCAGATTTCCCCCTTAAGCTTGTTATACATAATGCATCCCCACCCTACCCCACTGATCATAATTTAGACATTTTGAAATCTACACTACCCCATGATCCTTCCATGGGCACATATTTTTCAGCTTTTTTGGCCCAGTGGTTCCTGAGAAGAAGATTTTCAAAGATATTTCCTATATATTTCTATGTAAAACTTTGATTCCCTATAATGGCCCCACCCTTTCCCCGGGGGTCATGATTCCTAAAATTTAGAATTTACACTACTCCAGAATGCTTCCACATAAGCTTCACTTTTTCTGGCTCAGTGGTTCTTGAGAAGAACATTTTCAAAGATTTTTCCTATATATTTCAATGTAAAACTTTGATTCCCCATTGTGGCCCCACCCTTCCCCCGGGGGTCATTTTTTGAACAATTTAGAATCTACATTATACAAGGATGCTTCCACATAAGTTTCAGCTTTTCTGGCCCAGTGGTTCTTGAGAAGAAGATTTTCAAAGATTTTTCCTATATATTTCTATATAAAACTTTGATTCCCCATTGTGGCCCCGCCCTTCCCCCGGGGGTCATTTTTTGAA